AAGGTAAGACAAGGAGGGGCGGGACTCTTTGGGTATTTATGCAGGGAGGAGGCGAAACGAACGGGCGACGAAATCGGGGAAGTTTTCCCCCGATCCGGCACAATTAACCACGAGCCGATTTCGCTGGCCCACGCGCCCATGTCTCCCTCATTAAATGCGAGAACAGTTACGTCCCATCCACCACGTCACGCTCGGCCACTACGGCAGCAGGCGTCGTTTCGCCTACCCAGGAAACCGCCTCAAAAGGCGCGCCACCCGTTGCCGAGCCAATAGGGAAGATATTCCCCACGACCTATTCCTTTCATATGAAGGAACCAGACTCTGAGCCTATTATGGTCTAGGGGTTCGAAGGCTAGGCCCCAAGAGGTTTCGACAGCCGCCCCAGGATAACAGAGTCAGGGACGACCGCGGGCGAGCCTATACGGGGCCAAGACCCAAGCAAGTGAAATGCTTGGGACGCCTAAAGTCGTGTTCGAGACCGGTAGGAAGGTCTCTGAATGGGATCCCACCGTAGGGAGGCACCGAGCCACCGAGGCCCAGCGAACGGCCTCGGCACCCACTAGAGAAATCCTCTGGTACTCTTGGAGTGTGTCTCTAGACCACTAGCCGTCCCCTAGCGAACGGGGTTCGGGCCTCCACTCGGACTACCCGAAAACAGCTCACCGGAGGTGCCACCGCTTGTGCCCACCGAGGGTAGCGAGACACATTCCACCCCTCCTTCCGAGCGAAAAGGAAGCATGAGGGTCGTACAAAAAGTTAGGGGAACCCCTGACGGCCTTCTCGCTCTATGCAGGGGCTAAGGGGCTCTTCCTGCAACCTTGCCGAGACCCGGCGACCCCGGCTCACACTCAAATGGGCTCAACAAAACAAACCCTCCTTCTGAGTGAAAAGAAAGTGTGAGGGTCGTACAAAAAGACAGGGGAGCTCCTGATGGCCCTCTCGCCCTGTGCAGAGGCTAGGGGGCTCTTCCTGCAGATACGCCGAGACCCCACGACCCGGGCTGGCGCCCAAAGGGGCCTCGGCAAACAAACCCTCACGCGCGAGGGGCGTATAAAAAGCCAGGGGAACTCCCGACGGCCCTCTCGCTCCACGTAGAGGCTAGGGGCTCTTCCTGCAACCTTGCCGAGACCAGCGGCTCCGGCTCGCACCAGAGTGGGCTCGGCAAACAAACCCTCCGTCCGAACGAAAAGGATATGTGAGGGTCGGATGAAAAAGCCAGGGGACCCCTGACCGCCCTCCTGCTCCTGGCGGAGGCTCGGGGGCTCCTCCTACGCCCAAGACAAAGACAAACGGTCTAAGTCCACGCTAGAAGTTCCGTTACAAATACGATAAAGGGCACCGAGCCCGTTACGGTCTAGGGGTTCGAAGGCTGGGCCTCCAGAGGTTTCGACAGTCACCCTAGGGCAACAGAGTCAGGGACGACCTTGGGGCGAGCCTACGAATGGCCGAGGCCCGAGCGAACGATCGCTCGATCGCTCGAGGCGTCCTAAGTCATGTCCGAGACCGGCAGGGAAGTCTCTGAATGGGATCCCACCGTAGGGAGGCACCGAGCCACCGAGGCCCAGCGAACGGCCTCGGCACCCACTAGAGAAACCCTCTGGTACTCTTGGAGTGCGTCTTAGGACCGCTAGATGACCCTTAGCGAACAGGGTTCGGGCCTCCACTCGGACTACCCGATAATAGCTCACCGGAAGTGCCCACGCTCGTGCCCATCGAGGGTAGCCTGGCACATTTCACCCCTCCTTCCGAGCAAAAAGGAAGCGTGAGGGTCATACCCAAAGTCAGGGGGATCTCTGACGGACCTCTTGCTCCGTGCGGAGGCTAGAGGGCTTTTCCTGCAGCCTCACCGAGACCCCCGCAACCCGAACTTGCGCTTGTGGGCTTGGCAAATGCGATAAAAACTCCACGCTCAAACGCAAAAACAAAAAAAGCCCCTAGAGGAGTAACTCCACTCCTCCAGGGCCTCGGGGGCTACAGCCAGCGGGTGCGCTCGCGCGCACCCACCGGAACCACCAAGTACAAAACACAATCCCGACGGGAGCTGCTACAAGCCAAGTCTCGTCAAAACCTCGGGAGAGTGCCCGCACTCCTCCCGAGGCTCGGGGGCTACTGTCGGATACCACAAGAAGGGGTACCCTAAGCAAGAACCAAAAATATTGCTTAAGCCTTGCAAAAATCAGCAAAAATCAAAGCCAAAGGACAACCACGAGGTCTCGGCAGATTCTCCGACTCGCCCAAGGCTTGCACCGAGGCCTCAGACGAAAGGCCAAAGCCCTCCGCCCCGCCGAGGCCCTCTTGCCGAGGCCCCCTCGCCGAGGCCCGCCCCGCAATGCCTCGGATGGGATACCAATTCTCTGATTCGCCCGAGGCTGGGCTCGGCAACAACCTCGTCACCTCCGTCCCGACCGACTCCCCTGACAAAACGCCACGTCCAGTCAATACGCCCCACTACTCCCGCAACGTCAGCCGCACATTGGCACAGTACAGGCAGAATGACCGACGGGACAGGGGACCGGGCGCAGCAGGGGTTACCTACCACTATGCTCATCACTGTGCCCCCTGCTGACACCCGTACTGCCCTGTGCTACCTAACTCCTACGCCAAGGACAAAGTGGCGTGGAGGGTCAAGTCCGGGTCCCAGTAGTCTCAGAATCAGCATAAAAGACCAACCGTTCGTCCTCCGCCTCATCCGAGACCCCTCGGCAGGGCCTCGGACGTACTATTCCTTCTCCGCCTCGGCCGAGGTCGGGCTCGTCCCGCATCCTCGTTGCCTCCGCCTCGTCCGAGACCCCCCGGCAGAGCCTCGGACGTACTATTCCTTCTCCGCCTCGGCCAAGGCCGGGCTCGTCCCGCATCCTCGTCGCCTCTGCCTCAACCGTCCCTCTGGCGAGCCATCACATCCGTTTAAATGCACCTGGTCACACCTACTACATCAGCCACGACTAACATGGTACAGCAACAGGGGCGATGGGACAGCGGTCAAATCTCCTTTTTACCATCCCCTACTGACGGTGCAGGGGTTACCGTGCCCTGTGGGCACACGCTTCGCACTTCTCCACCTGAACTAGGTACGACGCTGACCACCGAGACCCCCGCATCATACACGGGTCACCGCCGAGGCCTCGGCAAAGCAGGCCTCGGCACGATCAGGTACAGCACCCGCCAGGCCTCGGCACTCCACCAAGTCAAGAACACACAAGGCACGGCATGTCTCCTACAGTGGAAGCCATACTGACTAGACGTCAACAAGGACTCCCACGACCTCAACAACCTCGTGCCTGGCCAACACGGTGCGCCAGTCAAGTACCAATCGCCATCCCCAACACCATGCTGCTACAGGACTGAACTACAGTAGGCTCCACGTATAGCTCACTCATGTACTCCTGGCTCCCTCCTTGCGGTTATAAAAGGAAGCAGCCAGGGATAGCTCGGGGGGGGGGAAGAGGGGAAATAGGAAGAACATCTAGTAGCTCACACACATACACATCCCAGCCGCCTGAGAGCAACGTCTCAAGGAGCCCACACGACACCTCGCCGAGACCTGGGATTAGCTCCCTCTCTCCCTGTGCTTGTAACCCCCTACTACTAGCACTTCGGTGCAAGGAATACAAGATCGATCTCTCGGACTGGACGTAGGGCATCGATTGCCTGAACCAGTATAAACCTTGTGTCTCTTTGCATCACCATCCGGGATTAGGGGCATGCAGTTCAAATTCACTAGTTGGTAGAGGAGCCCCAGTCCGAAACACCGACAGTGGCGTTGCTCAACGAATACTAGACGCTCGGGGACAAGCTGTGGGGGTATAACCCCGTATACCCACAAGGCTGTACATGGGCCGAGCCATCAGGGGAGGCCCAGCCCACCAGACAACGCCCCGCGCAGCACGACACTGGTCGGCGTGCGTCGCAAGGCTACGTGAGGATCCTTGACGATCTAGGACAATCTGTTCGGATATGCTAAGATACCGATCTCTGTAAAGCTTATCATGTAAACCAATTAGGGTTAGATACAATGAATCAGAGATAGGCTCAACCAACCTGTAACCCTACCCCCATGCTATATAAGACGGATAGGGACCCCTCAATTTGATCAGATCATAATATACAATTTACCAAAGACACATGACGTAGGTATTACGTCAAGCTGATGGCTTCAACCTGTATAAATCGCTATATCTGGATCTTGTGTCACCATCTAGTTCGTATCTTGCGCATCTCCACCGATTCATTTACTACCGTGGGCATACCCTTTAGTAGACTGCCGGCCGTATTTCGCCGACAGGGTGTTTGTTCCCACAAAGCTAAAGTTTAGCCCATGGTTTGCCTTATTTAAATTCAGAAACTAAAGTTTAGAGGTGTCACATGAGGATGTCATATGAGAGTGTTCCGATAGTAATAATAAAATAAATGACACAAGTCCTTGTAATCCGGGAGATAAATTTATTAAACCTAATGAATCCATCATTAGCATATAAATTACTGTAGCACCACATTGTGAAATCATAGACTAATTAGGTTTAAAAAAATCCGTCTCGTAAATTAGTCGCAATCTATGCAATTAGTTATTTTTAGTTTATATATATGTGTGTGTGTGTGAGTGAACAATCGACTAAAGTTTAGCGGGAATAAACTTTAGAACCAAGACGAATTTTAGTTCCCACTCAGGCACTCACGCAGAGCAGCTTTCCCCATCCCCAACCCACCAGCAACCTCTCCGCCTATATATATATATATATATATATATATATATATATATATATATATATATATATATATATATATATATATATATATATATATATATATATATATATATATATATATATATATATATATATATATATATATATATATGTGTGAACAATCGACTAAAGTTTAGCGGGAATAAACTTTAGAACCAAGACGAATTTTAGTTCCCACTCAGGCACTCACGCAGAGCAGCTTTCCCCATCCCCAGCCCACCAGCAACCTCTCCGCCTTCCGCCATCACCGCCGACGCCATGGCCTCCTCTCCTCTCCACCTCTTCCTCCTCCTTCCCCTGCGCCTCCTCTTCCTCCTCCCGCTGCTCGCCGCGGCCAAACCCGTCCTCGAGAACGGTTACACGGTCACCACCTTCGCCGACCTGAACCCGCTCCCGGCCTCTGGGCCGTACCCCTACGCGATCCTCCCGCGGCTCCACGCCGGCGACCTCCTCCTCCTCGACTCCGCCGGATCCGCGCTCTACACCCTCTCCCTCTCCTCCTCCCCCGGCGAGCCGCGCAGGCTAGCGGGGGGCAAGCGGGGCTCCGGGTTCGACGACGGCGACGCCGCCTTCGACCGCCCGCGCAGCGTCGCCGTCGATGCCGTCGACAACGTCTACGTCGCCGACCAACGCCACGGCGCCGTCCGCAAGGTCGCGCCCTCCGGTGAGCGAGCCCGCCCGCCCCCTCCTCCGTGCTTCCTTTGTTCCCCTGCTAGCGGTCCCTTCGCGCGGTCGTCAGTTAGGGTTTAGGGTTTGGCTGTTTGGTGGATGTGATGCGGGGAGTGTGAGTGAGTAGGTGATCGGGACCTTAGCGGCTCATACGACCCATTTATGTTACCTTTGGAATGTTTTTCACAACGCCTCTGCATCGCTTTCGTAGTGAGGTTGGGTTGGGATGTTCATGTCGTTGATTGAAATTTTGCTCACGTGTTCTCACTCCAAATTTGAGATGGTAGTTTTTTTTACTTATCTACAAATAATTTGTAGATGGTATATATATATATGTTGAATTTCATGTTTTTACCCTTAAATTATACTGAGATACTAAATTGGTAAATTCATCAAAGATTGGTTCAGAGCAGTCCAAACCATTGTATGTTTGACCCCTAAAACATACAACTTTCTCATCTCACTGGTTGCCAAGCTAACGCAATGGTATTCTACCACTTAGTATTTGGTTTTTGCCGTTTCCTACCTACTCTGACAGTAAAATATCTGTTTTTAGTGCTGCCATGCCTGACAATTAACTACTTGGAAAGAAAAGATATTTACGTGTTGGCCAATAACATCACCTTGCTCCTGATTTCTTGCTACAAATTTGTCATTGCTAGGTTATACTACTACGATTGCCGGAGGCCTCTCATCAGGGCATGGTCGCAGGGATGGACTGGCACAGAATGCTACTTTCTCGGCAGATTTTGAGCTTGTTTATGTCCCCAAAATTTGTGCCCTGTTAGTAGCTGACAGAGGAAATCGAATGGTTAGACAAATCAATCTAAAGCCAGAAGATTGTGCACATGAAAAACAGTCAGGTAACTACTGAATGGACCTCCAACTTGCTTTAACTTAATACTGCTGCATAGGTACTGTAACTTAGTAACTTATGTTTAGTGCTTGACTTTATTGTGTTTTACTCTGGCCACCTGTTATGTCAACAACATTTACCTGTCGTGGTACCAATGTCTTCCAATTTACAAATTTCATGCATAGCCTGAGATTATTTGTGCAGAAAGGCTGGTAAAATGTGCTGATTGTTCCAGTGTATATAAGTAGCTTTTCTTGATAACATGTATTCTGCCTTATCCGGATATGCATCAGGGTTTTTGCTCCATCATTCAACTTATATTTGAGATACTTTATAATTAGTTTCTACTAACTGCTTTGGGGATTCAATGATGACAACTTCATTTTTCCTTGTCTCGTATTTCTGGGCTCAAAACATTTTCATCTACAGTCTGTTAGCAATGCCTGACAGGTTTCATAAAAAAAAACAAAGCAATGCCTGACAGTGTTTTACTTAGAATAGTGATAGTGATATGGTGTTATGTGGACTCCCTGCTCCATTTTTTTTGGAGAAATCGTAAACATATACTACAGTGAATAGCCTATGTAGTTGCTAGTCTTGCTAACGGGTTTGTTGTAAAAGCTGTGACAATATCACACTGCTGATGTTCAGCTTATGGATTTGCAGGCTTGGGAACTACATCGGTGTCGGTCATTGCAATATTGTGTGCATTGCTCGGTTCAATTATTGGGTTCTTAGTTCGCCATTTTTACCCTGTCAATGTGAGTATTCTTCTGCTTCAATTCTTAATTCAGAGGAGATGAATACATGCACAAATTAAGACAGTGCAATCTGAAACATATAGGCAGGAAGTCTCCATCAACCACTTTTTCAGCAGGATGCAGAAGCAATTCCTGAGGACACAGAGGAAGGCAACTCTGATCAGCTTCTGCGACATAAAAAGCGCAGTTGCTAGCTCCATGGGCTACACCCTCCTGCTTAGACTGATCAGACTTGGCCGTGGCTATCTAGCCATGGTGTTCCCTAGTGTTAGGTTACAGCAAGAAGTTCCCCTTAGGCCTTCTCGGCGTCGTCCTGAGTTACGCAAAACTAGCACTGCTCCTAACATTGGTCTTAACAGCAAAGCTCCCCTTCCTCCTACTGGGCAACTGGGGGATCTGATAAGCTTTGCTGGAGATGCCGGTGATAAGGAGGGTAGTGGTAATGCCAATAGTCAGGAGGGTAAGGTGCCATCTTATGAGGGTGACTTGATGGGTCTTCTCTACATCCCACCTGGCAGCGTTAAGAAAATTGATCACATGATCGAGACCAACCTATCCGGCTTTTCAAGCCGTGTGAATCGTCGTAGATTAACTGTTAGTGGTTGTAGTGTAAGCAGGAGGGTGCATGGAGACAAATAAGTTTATCTGAGCTTGTCATCGTCCGTCTTTGAGCCTGCGTGCGTGTCACCTAGGAGTACTGCAGTGGCAGAATAAATTTGTACTACATCAGCGCCAGCGTTTTCCTTGTAAATATGTAGAAGAACTTGGTGTGCCAAGTGTTGCTATATTCTATATGGTCATGGCATGTAATGTACCAAGTGTTACAAAACTCCTGGATATGCTCTTAATATTATTTCCGTTGCCATTTTGTGAAATGGAACTCAAACTTATACTATTATTTATGAATTTATTTGTAATATTATTTTCGCTACAACTCTATGCACGTGATGTGTATTTGTTTAATTATACGATTTTGGTTATAATGTTGATTTACCGAGGTCCTTCGTGACACTCGGCGGACTATCGGGTTTATATAATTGAAAGTATGCATACGTCACCATGTTAAACGGGGACAGCCGTACTTGATCTTGTATAAATTAGACGGTTCTATTACAGCTGGCATCAGAGCAAGATTAAGCATAATACTGTCATGTACTTAGTTTTCAAAACAAAGTTTTGTTTTAAAAAAACTATTTTGACTAAAACTTTAGATACTAGCAAATTTATCAAAACTAATTTGCAAAACTATGCTAGCGACATCCTTCTTAATGCCTAGTTAAGGACTATTAGGTGGCTATCTAAGTGTTAACATGAGGGTTTTTACTTTTGTCGTCCATACAGCGTGCTATTGCATGGATGTCATTCACTTGAATGGTAATGTATGGATCAATATACCTCTACATCCAGGTAAGATGGTGAGTGGCATGACCGCAAGATGTGAGCGTGCGGTCAAAGGAGAGAGATAATTTCGATACTTAATTATATATATCTCATATATATATACGGAAGTATTTAATTGTGGGTTAGATTTGGTACGGCTATATATGCATATTCTATATGTGTATATAGACGTATTTACTTTCGGGTAGTTTTGATACGGAAGTGTATATATATATATATATATAGAAGTATTTGGCTTGCAACCTAAATACCAGATTTTGTATAAATTTGGTAGTTCTGACACAGCTGGCATCAGAGCAAGATTAAGCATAATATTGTCATGTATTTAGTTTTCAAAACAAAATTTTGTTTTAAAAAGTCTATTTTGACTAAAACTTTAGCTAGTCAAATTTGTCAAAACTAATTTGCAAAACTATGCTAGCGACATCCTCCTTTATGTCTAGTTAAGGACTATTAGCTGGCTATCTAAATACTAACATGAGGGTTTTTACTTTCGTCGTCCATACGGCGTGCTATTGTATGAATGCCATTCACTTGAATGGTAATGTATGGATCAATATACCTCTACGCCCAGGTAAGATGGTGAGTGACATGACCGCAAAATGTGAGCGTGCGGTCAAAGGGAGAGGTAGTTTCGATACTTAAGTATATATATCTCATATGTATATGGAAGTATTTAATTGTGGGTTAACTTTGATACGACTACATATGCATATTCTATATGTATGTATATAGAAGAATTTAGCTTGCAACCTAGAGACCGGATTTTCATTTCCGCATACATATAATTGTGTGGTTGGGCTGAAGTGGAATCTTCTGCAGGTACGCTAACCACGAATACGTAGATTGAATGTAGCTGACGACTAGCTATATATCGAGAGAGTACGTGTTATGCCACCGACATAGAACGTGATTGCCGCCTTAGGCTGGCAATTTTGTGAGGACGAATAGGACGGTCATGCATCATGATTGTGTTTGTGCATAAATATGCTTCCCTCACTTTATTCTAATACTAAGTCACCTGTGATCAATGTGATGTTACTATCTTCCCTGTGTGAAGCTAGGCAAAATGCCTTGTTCCATGCCCCTTGAATATCTATGCTTGAAGATAGTGTGTGATTAGCTTTGCCTTGTATGGTTGCTTCCAAAGGAAATAAATGACAAGTTAGTAGTTAGCAAAAACTTCACCCCCTTAAAAACTAAAACTGGTAGTGATACCATGTTAGAAGCCTGCACATGCTTTTCTTTTAAATATAATGTCAGGTTCTTACTTTCAAGTTATCTTCACATTGGTTCTCTTAGACGCGTGGAGGCTCGTTATCTTGGTAGTGCCGTAGCTGTCACCCCTTTTGTCCTCGGTAAGCATACGAGTATTGAAGAGCGCTATTCTAGGCAGCGTCCAAGTTTTGATAATCTTATGGTTGTCGTCTCCAATTAAGTTCTCTCTTAGGAGCTTGAGATTGTACACGTGGTTGCTAGCCCTTGAACGTTGCGCTACGAAGACCTATATCCATGCCTTTGCTTAACCTTAAGCCTAAGCTTGGTTCCCTTGAATGTTTGCATGTGTCATGGTAGTCTCGCTCCTATGTGGGAGGACCCTGCTCAAAAATCCTTGTCGGACCTCATTACTCCTTCTCCTACAGATGATCTGGTGCAACGCTAATCGCTATCTACCCTGGCTTTGGAACATTTTCCTCATAGATCATGTTGTTGCTTTATCAACTAAATCCCTAGTCAGTGCATTGGCTCTGTCCCTCGAATCTCGTTTGTTTTATCTCCAACTGTCGACATAGAATTTTCCTCCCGTGCCAAGGACACATGCAGCAAGCCGGAAGGGTCCGCTCGATGGAGCAGATCCGCATAGCTTCATCGCGGGGATGGTCGATCCTGCGCAATCCTCCCGAGATGTGCCAGTCAATTTGACCCTGCAATTGACAATGAGAGAAAGTTCATCAGTAATTAAGGGCGAAACTTGCCGGTGTTGCCAGACAGTCCCAAATGTGCGGCTATGAGAGCCAATATGAAAGGAAATCGACTAAATAGTCGATTCTAGTATATTCATGAGAATGAATCAGTTAAAACTCATAGGGTTGTGTAAGAAGAATCGGTTATCATTTAGGATAAATATCATTAATCGAACATATATCAATCAATGGCAACAAGATGTCAACAATAATCGGTTTGTGCTGAGCCAATGATTATAAGTAACCAAACCCCTTTTTATATAAACAAACAATTCAACACCACTTAATCGTTTAATAAAGATAAATCTAATGAACATATTAGATCTCATCTATCATCATGACCAGTGGGGCATGAGGCAGAATCATGCAACATGCCTTAACCGCACGTTATGCACGATTAAGATTGATGTAAAATAGCCGATAAAACATAACTCATAGTTTAAGGTGTAGATTAGATCAATTTTAGGTTAGCAAACGATGGGTCAAATAAGATATAAGGCCGATCTAAATCAATCTCAATCAGGCAGAGTGATATTGTTGTAATTAGATAAATAATGAAAGCAATAAGCAGTATCGGTAACTTAATGAATCTACCAAAGACTGCCATTCTAAGGTAGAGCCGATAACTTGACCTTGATTTAATTCAAGTAGTGGGGTGTGAGGTAGAATCACACATGCCATACTTGAATTAAACAAGAGTCGACAACTAGCTTATACTAGAGCCGCAGTGGGGGTCGACCGGATTGATGCAGCCATACGAACAGAGGTATAAACCATGACGGTACTTACAGACAAGCAGTGGAGATTGACCGGATCGATGCAGCCGTACTTGCTGAAGAACTCACCAAGATCTACTCTACTCCTACTCCTAAGGGTGGCCGGAGCCAAAAAAAGTAATTGACTTGTATTTGGATTGATTGGTTGTTTTTACAATAGCTGGGGTTTGGTATTTATACCCGGGCCCTGTGCATGACTCCTGTCTAAGCACGACTTATTATAATTTTTGACCCTAGAAAAAACATTCCTAATTTAAGATAACTTGGACTCTAATCTTTTCCTTTTTGTAGAGTCCGGCATGCTTTGTCCTGGTGCCGAACGTAGTCTTTGTTGTTATCCGCTGGCGCTATCTGTGGAAAGCCGATTCCATTTTCTGCATTTGAATCAGCTGGTCCCAATCTGCATGTAATTGATTCCTTGATGACATGATCTTGGGAGCTTTCGCTGCAACATCTTCTTCCAAATTTTGGTGTAAACACATACCCCCCCAATTTTGGGATAAAAGTAATTTTATTCCAAAATGATCATGTCTGTATCCCTGATTGGTCCACAGTCACGGGTAGAGAACCTTGATCTAGGGTCCACTGTTTGTCGTTGCTTGCGTCCACTCAAAAGCCCATGCCTCAAAACTTTTTACAAGAGCGTCACTGCTTCACGGGCACTTGGATTCATCTTCCCGGGCCGGCTATAAAATGCCTATCCGACCCTGGCGAGAGCAACTCAACAATTCAGCCATGTTTTGCTTCCATCTACTCCCTCGAGTGCCTCTAGTTCCGCTGGACCCTCCATGGTCCATTCTCTTGCCATGAAGATCTTGAGCGGTTAGAAGAATTCTTGTGCATAGGGTGATTGTGTCGCTCATTTTAGCACCTTGTCGAGCAAGAGGATTAGCTACTGCGGCTAGGAGAAGTCTTGTGACATCACCTATGTGTTCTCACCATGCTCGCAGAGCTGTTCCAGTGTTTGTAAGGGCTAAAATGTGTAGACACCTTTTCCTTGTTTGTTCCACTAAACGTCCACCGGGAAAGCCATAGACTTTTTTCCCATAGTCTCTCGATTTACTGAGAAATCGGCTGAGCACATGTTAAGCGGGCGATTTTTCTCTTCTCGGGCAAAATTTTATCAATGGGCCAATGTCGACTCGTTTCACGACGACCTTCGGCCTTGTAGGGGTTCGGACTCCCTTCAATCCAAAGAAGCCTTGATAGGTTGATTTCTGGTAAATGTAAAATCTTCGAATCCGTTTCACGACATTCCATAATTTGGGGAGGCAATAAGTTCGAATCTGTTATCTCTTCGTTATCCGTCCCCTGAATCCCCAGAGTGTCGTTCCGCCTCCGTTTCTGACTCCAAATTCACACCTTCAGCGAAACTTGTCTTCTCGCCTTCTTGGGCTATATATACATGGGCCATGGTCGTGGATCGAACAACAACCCGCTTCGCCTCAAACTTTCTGCATCCTTAGTATAGCTTCTGTTCTTCTATAGGTTTGAGATC